CCCCCTGCCCACGCTCAACCTTGCCCATTCAAATTCAGCGTTCCCGCGCTCTTTAGTATCACCTACGGCCTTGTGAAAATTTTGGCTGGTAAACTATTAACTCGGGAATCACGGAAAGATATTCATCCTTCAAAATTTCGAATTCAGCTTTCATGCGCTGGTGCGTGGAATTCCTAACTATTTTTCAATGTTTCAACTACTTTTGCATAGACTAAATTACAAAGCAGTGAAAATCATTAACAAGCAATTTCCCGATGGGCTGAAATGCACAAAACGCATTATCGTACCGGCTAGTCTGGTGCGCGTTGCTATTTATTTATATTGGTACAGGATGCCATATACGTAAGACATTTCCCTGATGCAGTCCGGTCGAGAAAGAGAGAGAGAGAGAGGGACAATGATGCGAACGGGCCCTTTATATCACGCAAGCTTTCTTAAGATTTTTACCATTGCGAAGATGGAGCGGAAGGAAGGGCGACTGACAAGCAGCTAAACCAATTACGCTTCACTTCACGGACGAGCAACGCCTACGAAACGGCCATCTGTAGTTCAACCAAACTGAGCTGCTCATGGAACACAAAAAAAAATAAAAACAGCCGAGATGCATTGAAATGAGCATACCCCTGCTCCTCGCAATTCAGTAACTCGGCGCGTGCTGTTTCTTTCGTTCGTTCCAGAAACTTCAGCTTCTCATATGAGAGTTTTGCTTGATGGAAACCCGTCTTGACGCTCCTCTGAAAGCAGAACCATTTCAAGCGCGCAGAGAAGTCCGCCTAACGGTGAAAATTCCGCAATAATTACCGGATTGATTTCAGCGGCGCCAGTATCGTGCCTCATCAGGCTGGCCTTGTTCACAGCTGCGGTCCTCAGGGCGGCCTTTTTCGATTTCTGCTTCAGTGCATTGCGTGTCACCCTGAAACAGAAGTAAGGCACCATGTCCAGCTGCTGCTCCGTGCGCTGCCTTCAGCCGCTCCCCAGACGCAAGCAGCTGCCGAGGTTTTGGTCATTTCACTGGTGCGTCAAGCCCCCTCCGCGCAGCATCGCAGCGAAGCAAAGGATTCGGAAAGGCACCTGAACCAGAGATGATGATGCGCTTACCTTGGACGGGCACGTTTGCTGCACTTCCGCACGCTAAGAACTGCGCCTGACAGATCAACGAGCTCCGCGCTCTTCTCATCGTCGCACATCGTGAGCCCACGTCAACCCTGAAACAAATCGCCAGCCCCTCAGTGCATCCACACACACACACCGCCGTCCAACACCTTCACCCCAGACCACTGCTTCTGGGAAAGCACCTCCCCATGGTTGCCGGCAATTGAAATAATAACTCGGCTCGTCTCATACACCAGCCGC